AAATTCACCATTCAAAAATTTCTATTTTTGTTTGTTGCATAAATATTGTGATGTAATGTTTAAAATCTGAACACATTTAAAATATTTTTTTTATCCCTTCGAGATACCTCAAATTCCATAACTGTGCATAATTCTTATATGTACAATTCTAATAAGTGTATAACACTCCAATACTGTAGGCTTCTATGAAGGATGTTGCAGGCCATATTGGAGTTGGAACAGCCGTCCACTTAGTATGCCAACCATCAAATGGTCAGTTGGAGTTCTGACCTACTGTGTGGATGGCACTTTAGGTTTATGTGTTTACCTGACACAATGCAGGATTTCAAAGATTGAGTGATAGTGTTAACTCTATAAAAACCCATCAATGAGTACACAAATGAGTAATTAAAGTTAGTTAAGTTTTCATAAAAGAAGATGGTTGGTTTATTTTAAAACCAACTTAATTATAGAAAAACTTAATTCTCATATAAATAAATACTGCTCTTTATTTTAAGAACTGCAATTTCACATTCTTCCTTTTTCATTCTTTTTTTATAAATGCTTATCATCTTTAGATAATCCACAGTTTCTTAATGGGCGCAAATAACATAAACGTGTTAAAAACAAAACAGAATCTTAAAATAATCTGTACCTTTAATTTTATAAGAAAAAATCTCATATGTCAAACATCCATCACACACATCATTATCTGGATTTTACTTACATTATCCTTTACCAGAAAATGACTAACGAGCACCTTTTATTTTATTCAGTTTGTTCTTTACACCATACGTACTCGTAAGATACTGTCAAAGATGTTATAATAAAATACTGATAAATGCAATCACATTATGGTAAGCAATAATTATTTAATAAATTACTTACTTTTCTCACTAGATGACAAAGTATATTCTTTATTAATTACAGCAAATAATTTGGTCTATCTGACCGATTTATAATTACTTATAGAATCTTATATTAATTTTCAAGCACTTTTCAACTCATTTATTTACAAGGTTCTTTCAGTGTATTTTTTTTTAATTGTTTTAACGGCACCGGGTTCTTGCCCTTTTTGCTCTTATTATCGTTCTTTCAGTGTTGCCAACAGTGCTGCCAATTTAGCATTTTTTATGGCTAAATTTAGCATTTTTTCTAATGATTTGGCATAATTAAATTCAGTTTATCATATACCATTAAGCATTTTACTGAGCGTAAAATATCTAAAGATATCTGAACTATAAGATAATAACTATAAGAAAATAAATATCTGAACACAACCTAAGAGTGTTTGTAGATTGATAGTCATAGAGTAGTCTTTGGTTAGATAAATGCCGCTTGATTATAATGAGTTTTTGGTGGGGGGAAGCAATGAAGCCCCTGATCAAATTTTGCGAAAAATTGGGACTAATGAGGCTTATGCATCTACGTCATCTGCTCCATACCTACCGGCTACATCAATGACTCAGGATACCGACGAGAGTCTTCGCAATTTATTTATGAATGCTTCTTTATAAAGATTTTTATTAAATATTTTTTTCTCTGATAAAAGCATTTTCGAAAATATTTGGCATATTTTTGGCATTCTTTTTAAAGCCTATTTAGCAGAACTAATTTTTTAGAGTTGGCAGCACTGGTTGCCAATCAACTCTATACGTAAGGTGTGTGTGTTATTATAGGCTAGATGATATCTCAAGTGTTAGAATGATAGGGATATCCAAAAAATAGCGACAAACGTATTTTTTTCACTTAAAAAATAATAAAGAAAAAAAACTTACGTATCTATTTTTTTATTATAAGAATATGACATATCTAAAGCCATTCTTCTTCACTGGCAGAATATTCTAGGAACGAGCGTGGGATCATGAAAGATTGTAATATCTAGAGTTCTTGACGTAGAGACGTCATCTTTTATCTTAACTATAAAATCAAACTGTGAGCAGAAACTAAATCAAAAATACTAGATAGTGCTAGATTTGGTGCTAAGTGCTAAAAGTTATTTTTCTGTGCTAACCTTATGAAAATAGTGCCAGTTCTAGCACCGAAAGTGCTAAATAGGCAACACTAGGTTTTTTGGGACTTATCAGACTGACGACTTGAAGACTTTAAGCTCTAATTGATAATAAATATTGTGTGGTTGATATCACCTTAAACTAATGATATTTTTTAATGGACGTTTGTGCAACTGGCTGTATGAAGGTTATATTTTTTTAGTTGACTGACACTTGACTAGGAAATTGAAAATACTAACTTAACAATCGTTTGTAATTTTATTCGATTAATTTAAAAAAGGTATAAATAAATCGCTAAATTATTCTTATCGTTTATTTATAAATGATTATCCATTGTATATATGTACCATGGTAGTCTCATATTAGAAACATGACATGAAACATTAGATGAATAGATAAAGTACAACTTCAACGTATAAATATGCGGTAAAAATATTAACATTCAATTATTTGTCTGTCGCCTATTACATGTGAACTCCTAAAATTTACCATATGTCGTAACGACATGCTCGATCTTCTCGTTCCATCCCGGGGTACCTGGAGAAAGTAAATTTTTTATGCATCTTTCATAAAAGTTACTAGTTTTAAACTACCGAATTTTGAGCGTTTTGATGGCTTAATAAATATTGGGGACAACACCAATATTAATCAAATCAATGTTTTCCAGTTATATAAGGTTGCACAAAAGCATATAATTTAAACTTTGGTTAAAAGTCTCTGGTGCACTCAGATAACATTCAATCCCTAAATATTAATTTGATTTGGTTTGCTCAGTACTATTTAAAATTGCACAATTATAAGACATTATTGCTTGTCATTAATGCGTAAGTGACAAAAATAGTTTTGCAAAACCTACAACACTTATCGAAAATTTGACTATCGATTGTATTAATATGTTTGATATTGAGGTACAATATTCAAGACCCTTTATAATTAATTATCTTTCTACACAATTTTCTTGCATTATTATCTTTTTCAAAGACATTAAACTGATAATAGGCATTACTATCGTTTTATAAAATACTCATTTTGATCAGTTATTCGTTTTTCGTTTTTCTACTCTTCTATTATCTGGGATGAACGCTGATGAGATATTAACCAATTATGCTTTATAATTCGTTATAATATCGAAGATAACGCTCAAAAATGAATATCGATTATTGTGAACAAATATCGGTATTTTTATATAGGTATCGATTTTTTACCCATGCCTAGTAGTTCATACATAAATCAGTGATAGTGTTGTAAAAGAACTGAGTCTTTTAGTCCTAATATTGAGACTCGAGTCTTTTTTTGAAGACTCAAGTCAAAAAAGAGTAAGTTAAAGCTGAAGCCTCTCTGAGTTTTTAGTCTTCTTAAAATAGACTCCAGTCTTGCCAAAGAGAACTCGAGACTGAGTCTTTTAAAAGAGCTCACTCTTTACAAGATTCCTTTCTCTTTTCCAGACTAAGTCCTTCAAATAAAAACTTAGCTTTCCTAAAAAGAACTAGCGACTGAGTCCTTTTAAAAAGAGCTCAGTCTTACGAAAACCTACCTACACTTATTATTATAACGCGACAGGCCAGCTACACTGTGCGCCTTGTGATCGTGTTTCTAAGACCAAATTTGGATTCGCTACCCACATTCGAGCACGTCACAAAGACCAGGTTATCTTGTAAGGTACGCCATCACCGGATACGCTGAGGAGGACATGATGAGGTCCATTCTTAAGGTGGAATTAATTTAAGCTTAATTAATTTTATAGTGGTTTGCTACACAAAAAAAAGTACAAGTATGAGTAATCGATAACTTTAATAATCAAATTACAGAGGCGTACCTACCTATATTAATCACTTAAAAGTGTGAAAAAAAAATCTTCATGACACGAGTCTTTTTGATTGGACTGCAGTCCTGCTGTATAATTCACACGACTCATAAGACTTCAAAGAACTTAAAGGACTCAAAGAACCCAAAGGACTGAAAAAAAAACGAAAGGACTTAGAATAAATCTAACGACTCAAGAAATTTTAGGACTGAAAGAACTGAAAAGACTCAAAAGAACTCAAAACTAAGGACTCAGAAGACTAATTAGTCGTGAGTTTTGCAAAAAGAACTTATAGTCGCAAAATTGGGACTAAAAGACTCAGTTCTTTTACAACACTAATCAGTGATGCCAACTTAGGGTTTCGAGGGTATTTTTTGGAGTGATTTATTTTTTAGGGTAATAGCAGGTAATAGCTTGAAAGCTTTAACTTTTAATAGCATATTATTTAATCATCTGTCAAAGACATAAAAACTCTCAGTTTGGTGTTTCGGAATGCAACAATAATGTCTTTTTTCGATTGCGTCTGTTGTCTGTAGCCTAAATGTGGTTGGAGCTTGTTGGAGAATGTACTTTGTGGCTGTTTGTTGTAAAAGCTCGTGTAAACAAGATGTGAACGGTAGTTTCTTATAGTAGTTGTGAAAAATGGCATCGTATTGAACTGTAGCTGAACCTCAATCTAAACACGATTTTTTTAACACGTGGCGATAACTGAACCGAACAGCGGCGATAAAAATAAGATTTTTTGTAGGTACTTAAAAAACCCGTGATTTGGATGGAAAGGGGGTTATAGTCTTAAAACTTCACTATCACCTAGGGGGAGGGGGGTTTAAAAATGGACGGCCCCAAATCAGGTGTAGCTGTCATTCTTTCTTTCTTTATTCAATAGTTAAAAATAAGCTTAAATATAGACTATCATTGCCTATGTATATACAAGGTATTATGCCGGTTAGATAATTTAAAACTTTTTCACAATTTTTGTGTCAACTTACTCCATCTGTCTTTTCTTTGGAATTTGCAATGCAAGAAAACAATGTTTGTCGCCTATAAAAAGCGAGTTGTCAGTCCGGAGGTCAACTAGCTCTCTAAAAAATGTTATAGGAATTTTTTTAGGGTATTTTTTCAAAAATATACTTAATCTAGGGTAAACCGAGACAAAGACTGGGGTAACGCAAAAAAATGACCTGGCAAGACTGACATAAATATTAAGATGTGTGTGGTTTGTGGTAGTGAGTAGAACGTAGTTTATAAATAAATACTCTTTATAGTTCGGAAAAGTTCAGTCACAGTACTCACAGAAGCAGTTAAGAAATAACATATGTATTGTATTAAACCTATAGGTACGTAAAACAGATTTACAAATAACTTACGACATTTATTCAAATCACTACATACCTACCGAATAGGATTTATTGAAGTCACATAGAACTTATCAAACATAGAAAATCATAAATAGTTTGTCTGTTATAGTAATATTGACATAAGTACATGTTAATGTATGTAAGTTAATTATTATGTAACCCATGGTTTGCATCACCATGCGAAAATTTTGTTTGCTTCCTAGCTAGTCTATGAGTCATTCATGAGATCCATTTCAATAGGTATTGATAAAATTGATTATATTGGTGTGCTTATTCATTGTTTAATATTTTACTGTATTTACCTATTTGGGTTTTTATTTATAATCATAAAGTTGAAAATCGGCTTTTGTTTTCACGGCCAGCTTTTTCCCGCCCGCCCGCCGGGGCCAGATGAGCCACGCAGCAAAAGTAGCAAATGGGCGTTCCTTCTGAAATTCAGCTTCGGGTTTGATACATCCGTTATTATTGTTCTTCAAAAATAATGAATATTGACTGTTATTCTTTTTATTTTAAAATCTATATAGTATCCAATATCGTAGCAGACTGATGTCACCGATTTAAAAATATATAAATCAATTTAATTAATTTTGAAGAGCAATAATGACGGATGTATCAAAGCGGGTGTTCAATTTCCGAAGAAACACCAAATGCTACGGGCCCTGCGCGTGGGGGGGTTCGCCCCACACAATTGTCAATTTTATTATTTTTTCCTATTTAGAATAAAAGAATGAGCACAATAAAAAAATACTGTGAAAAAAATCTTAAATGTTTTCATATTAAAAAAGTTTTATTATGCGCGCAAGAATAATTTCGCTTTACTCGACACCTCCGCGTGTGACGTCACGCTACCGAACATGACCATACCGCGAGGACATAAGTATAATCAGATAACTAGGGACACTCGAGGTCTGAGGCAAGAGATAATAGCTTAAACATGTAGGGCGGTCACTTATAAGTTATTCAATCGGTAAATCAATCAATTCTTATAAAATACATATTTTTTTTTTCATACCTACGTCATGTCATTTATTAAGTGTTTTAGAAAATTAAAACGTGGTTTTAATGAATTATGTATTTATTCATTTTTTTTCAAATAATCAGGCTCGCTTTATATTATATCAAGCAAAGTAGTTTTAAGTTAAAATTATTTTAAATTTGACACAAAAAAATTTTTTCTTCTGTTTCGATAAGTACGAAATGCCTTATTATTTGAAGTTAACGTAAAATATATCGTGTATACTAATTGTCTAAAAAAAATCGTTCACAAATCACTATGAATTTGACATTTGAAAGACATTCTCGGACTTCACTACAACTATTTGACATGTAATTGCGATCGAGATTTTTGAAAGATATTGAATGAACGATAACGTTCATTTGACGTAAATCGGAATTGTCTAAGCAAATTGATAGTTATTTAACCTTTGAAAGCCACTGGGTAATATCAAATGAAAGCGTTGAACATTAAAGTATTTTTTAAAGTTTTGATAAGGGGATATACTTTATATCCACTGAAAATCCAATAACGCTCATAATTATTATTCTAGAAATTACACAATCACTCGTTACGGTGGAAAAATGTTGTATTAAGAATACTTACTTTATTACTTTTGTATTTACAACTATTTCATAAAATGGTTATTTTTAACTACCACATAATTTGCAAATTTTTCATGTGTGAATACTCAAACTTTAAATGAAAAGCCAAGTTTATCCAGTATAGTAGTAGTAGTTCCATTTACGAAACTATGGGACAGGCGAAGGAACTAAGCCATAAAGCCAAATCTTGGGCTTAGCCAAAAACATGACGAGCTTAGGGATTCAACGACACCTACTTGGAATCGATACTTTTACTCGATACCTACTTTAATTGAAAAGTTTTAAAATGCCCCACCATCGTCATCATTCATTTTTATACGAGTAGATTTGATGCTATATATAGTCAATAGCTATACTCTGTATAATGAAGAAAGAGAAGTAGGTCTAGACATTAAAAGCGATGCATGTAGAAAATATAGTATGTATTTAGTTAGGTATTGCTTCAAAATTTTGTTGACAGTGCCCCCTGTAGATAGATCTCTAACTGCATAAAATTAGTAAGGGTTAGTAATGATTAGTCATACAGGGCCAGGGACGCTGTGCCTGTGGGACTTTTTCATAAGATAGACTTTAGACACCTTAACACAGAGTAAAAAATCTTATGTTCGCGATTTTTTGACACTCCTCAGTGAGTGACCGACCAAGTACAGATACACACACTTACTTACTTCACGATACTATTTATTACTCGGTTCTAAAGTATCGATGCCATAAGTACTTGGTATCGAAAGAAAAGTCTTTGAATATTTAAATGATAAGTTTTAGATGAAATGTATCTATGTATACCAATTTTCAATGCAATGTCTGACCCTCTTTTTTCCATCTTTTTATAGTGCCATACCTATCAAGGTGCATGTGAATATTATTAACTAAAATCTGTTTATTTAGTTTCTAAGTTACATGCATGCAATGCAATCGATATATAAATAAGTAGTAGATTAGATAGGTACTCACCGTTCTCGTTCTTTTGGTAATGGGAAGAAAAACAAATAGCATTTAATAAACTGTTATTGAGACATCCACATATACTACAATATTTTCGAGACAATACTGGTACCACGACCAGACCCAAGACAATATAGAAAAGTCCTTTTTTCTACTTTGACCAAACCGGGAATTGAACCCGAAACTCTGTAGCATCAGGTCATATATTTTTACACTCTGAGCAAGTTTCAATAAATATATAATATACATGTCTATAATAAGGTTATCTATTATTCATGATTCTATTAATGCAAATCGCGAATCTGCAAATGCCTAATCTACGTTGAATTGCCAAACTGCTTTCAATTACTTATTAATTACATTAATTTTATATCTTGTTTCAGGTACCTAATCATCGTATACGTTACAATGTCAAAGCGCCAGCCGATAGATAACTTAGGTATGCGTCAACAGGCACTCAATGCCAGAGTGCAAGCGGCTGTCGACACAAAAGTAAGATTCGAAGATGTGAAAGACGCCGCAGAAGATTCTGAAGTCGACAGGCTATTTAAAATTGATCTCGCTGCAAAATACAAAGAATTGGACTATATAGTTGAAGTACTTAAGTCAGCTGATAGTCTCTACACAACCAGAGCTTTAAAAAAGAGCTTATGGCTTTTTGACGATGAATTCAAACATATAATCAGCCCAGACTACCTTGACAAATATATTTTTCCTTTCACTTCGAATAAAATGAAGAGGTTAATTTTAACACATGTAGCTCTTCATGTCAGAAATGAAGATCGAGCGACCATGTTCTACTCGTATTGCATCAAAACCAAATTGTTGAATCTAGCTGTAAAATTTCTCATATTTACATCGGAGTCTTTCAAGTTAGCCTTGCTGAAAGAAAATAAACCACCTGTTAATTGGGTGGTTGAAAAAGATCAACGTTATTTGAATCATTTTCTACAGAAATCATTTGATCTATTAACAGCTTTGCTCGAAATTATTACAGACAATAGAGAAAGAAGAAGATTTCTAGAAATTTTCCAGTTCTGGTACAAATATGATTCTGAAAAGTATTTAGATTTGGTAGAAAAATATGAACGTTGCACATTCAATTCTACATATTCTAAGAACATAATGGAGGAACATAAAAAAAGAGTACTAGACAAACCATTGTTCTACATTGGTTTACTAGACGGGAACGTTATCAAAAAGTACAGTACTGCCGATGACGCCAAAATTTATGCGCTTGATCTTTTGCCTAAAACAAGTGATCAGTTTTGGCGACGCAACTTCTACAACAATCACAGATATTTGTTAGAACTTATACCTAAAGAAGAAACGTTTGCCTTCTTGAAAAAAATATATAAAGATCGTTATCCAGATAAGGAATTTGAAACTACGTTACGTTTTTATGAACAAAATTACTATGTTTTCATGACAGATAAGCAACAGGAAGAATGGGCTTGGAAACACATTAAAAGTGAAAAACAAATACTTGGTGTAGGACGTGATTATATATGGTACGGCTTTGTCAATTTTAAAGACGCGTTCGAAAAAATAAAAAGCTTAATTTTAATAACCAAAGAAACACAAATACGTTCCAATATGCTTAAAACATTAATTAAATCAGCCAAAACTAACGTTGAGTTGAAAACTTTATTCGACTACTACCAAAAGAAACATTTAAATGAGGCGAGAAATTTTAAAGATCAATTCTTACTAAAAGTAATTGAGGACCATAACGTGTATGATTTCGATGAAAGTTGCTGGAAGTCTTTTTTTACATTGTTACTTAGTATGGATTTGTATAATGAGTTAGATTATACAATTAGTATACTAAACATAAATGATCATTATAAAACAGTTGCAGTAATTTATCATATAGTTAACGAGAAAGATATAGCCGACCTGTTAATACAATACATTCGTGACGATTTTCAAGCAAATAAAATTACAAACCATCTTAAAAAATTAACTGATATAAAGCGCAATATTTTATATGAATATCTCTATTCAATGTATACAAATAAAATTTTAGACTATAAAGATGCTCCCTTCACGAGAAGTGATGAAAATAAAGTGACAAAATATTTTAATAACATGATTAACCTAATGACTTTATACCATAAAAAACAAGAACCAGTAAAAAGAACTCATTATCAACCACAACGAAAAGAACGTCGTGTAAACCATAGTCTCCACGACCGTGAGCTTTTACGACGTTTAAAAAAGGATTCGGATCTTATCATTGCATCATTGCCTGAGGTTACCAAACAGTTCGAAACCACACCTTACAAAATTGACACTTTCTTAAAGAAAATTAAACTTTATTTCGCAGATGATATTTCAAAGAAATATTTAGAATTATTTGAAAATAATGTTGGCAAAGATTTAAATATGAAAGGGATTGAAGCGGCTGTTAACGGAATATTCCAGCTTGGAGATGCACATTATAAGGTTAGTTTAATGAATAAATATGCCCCAGAAAACAACAAGGTGGATTACAGTAAAATGGATCCTAAAGAATTACGTATTCAAAAGGCTGTATGCCGTTATTTTTGTCGTTCACGACCGCCAATGCCCCTTAGAAATGTTTTGATGTACTTAAAAGGAGATTATGTTAAGCATTGTCTCCATATATTCAACATGTTCCATCAAAATTTGTCACTCCCATTGTGTTTAAACTTTGTTGAATCGATAATTGATGCTCCTGTGTCACTGCAGAAACATGGTGTCCGATTAGCATTCGCTTGTTTTGACGTCGATAATTTAGTGAACGTCATCAAGAAGCTTTGGAAAAATAGTAAGAACGTAACTCTGAGAGATATAATGTACAAAGCTCTCTTTGAAAAAGTAAAGAATGACTGTGACAAAAGACTGTTTGAGATTTTAAAAGAGTTTACTTTGGATTTGAATGAATTGGATGAAAATGAATTATTTGATATACTGGTATCAAACAAGTTGGCAGAAGAATTCTTGAGTGAATACAACGTAGCAGCCTGGAAATCTGTCTGCAAATTTAGGGATAGAGAACCCAATATTCAAAGAAAGGTGAACGTTTTATGCAATATTCGAAAAAAAATAACTCTCATGGAAGAAATGTTTGTGAAAGCAATTGTCCTAGAACACCTGGAGGAAATGTTCAACGAGAAGAAAATCTATACTTTGTATGGTGATTTGATCATTAATGCAGTATTTATAGAAAAATGGAAACTGGTGGAAGCTTTTATCATACATGCTACAAGTCATTCAAAGACTCCTATAGCATTCGTAACACTAACTGCATATATTACTCAAGTGTGCTTGGAATCTTGGAATGAATTACATTCTGACGAGTTCGTATATAAAAAAAAATTGTTTGAATTTATTAGAGGTCTCAAGATACAAGGCCATATTCAAGAAAACTGTGATCCCATAAACGCTATTCCTGTTTTTGAAACAATCATAACTGAATTTCAAAATAAATTATCTTTACCCGAAATATATTTAACTGTTTGGGACTTAAGATTGTCCATTGCCTACAAAAAAGTTACACACAGCAAAATAATTGATTCTTCTTTGTGTTATCAGCTTGGGAAAGAAGTAGGAGGTATCGTGGTCGACTTCGTCAGAAACAATCAGTATATAACGTACATGTCCAGTGACATCAAACAACTAATTGAACGGGAATATGTCAATAACATTAGAAATATTTTACAAAAAGTTGATAGCCCTATCAGTTCTGCAACTGGTCTTGTTTTAATTGCTTCTGGTTTGACGGAACAAGAGACAACAGAGACTTATGTACTAGCTCTTCAGTTACTTGCAGAATGCGATGAAACCATGGACACTTACGAAAAGGTACTTATAAAAGTAAGTCAGTCGGAAGATCCAAACGTACGAAGCGTCATGCATCAGGTTAAAATGAGAAAATATTTAAAAGCAACGTGAACTGATTGATTCAATAATAATGAGAACTGATGGTGTTGTGTGCATTTTGTGCAAACAAGCTTATTCACCACGACATTGTAGCTTATACACCACAAAATTATGCACCATAAGTTAATCGGGCGCCTGAATTTTGCTTTTTTTATTTACATACTCACAACTTACTTTTTTTTCTCACTTAGTTTTAAGAAATGTTATTACATACTTAATACAATATTAAATATTTTTACAAAATATTTGTTTTTATTTATCAGATAAGTTAGGATCCAAAATCGAATCGAATGATTCCATTAAAATCAAAATTTTATTTAAAAGTTTTTTTTTACTATGTTTTCTACCAATTTTCACCGGACTGGATGGTAATGTTTCTAGAGCTTTATGTAATACTCGTATGTTTTGGTAGAGTTGCCATCTAGTGAGATGCTTTTTAGTGCTTTTTTTTTATCTAATCCTTAAATAAATTTATTTTTTGTTTGTATAGAGGAAAATGGAAACTGACATAATGGAGGTGAGCATAAGAGAAGGTTTTTTAAAAGTTATGGAAATCAATGGAATTAATGTTATGAAATCATTAAAAGTGGCATTTAGCTACGGTATACAATAATATTACTCGTGATATTGTTTTTAAAAATAAAATACTTATGCCATGGTAGGCCTAGGATTTTTTCATTATAATATTTAACAAAAGTTCTGAAAACAATAACAACTAGGTAAGTTAGTTTTGTTGCTATTAGTTGTATGTTGAGCTTATAGCAACAAAAGTACATCATGTTTTAATCATATTTTTATATTATGTGTGGTGAATAGAATGAACAGGGTTAATTAATCAGCAACAAAGGTCATAAAAACGATAATTGTAATAAAAAATCCGTTAAATATCTATATATACACTTACCCGATATGTATCAATTATACATATCGGGTATTCGTACAAAATAACATGACGACTAGCTAGAATGATGTTTATGCAAAGTATAACGTGCAAATAAGTTTTCCTTTCGCAATTAAGAATTAAAAAAAAACTATGATCAGTTATTAAATCTTATATTCATAATTAAATAATCTTAATAAAATTTCAGCAGTCAACAAGAAACATCCCTTCGAAACGAACAGCAAGATTTAGAACTTTAAATTTTAAATCACAAATAAACGTACAGTTATTATACTTATTAAACACGTACACTTGAATGTCGACGGCCGGCGGACGTCGAGCCAGGTGTTATGTTAATTCGTACGGTGGGTAAGTGTTTTTTTGGTTCTTACAACAATATTGTCAGTAATAGATTGACTTCCTACTCAACCTTCAGTTTTATTGAAATATATTACTTATTAAGTACCTAGAGTAGTCACGCTCTCTTAAAAATCTCTGCGATGATGTCGTGTGCGTCGGGTCGTTACGCTCCAATGATATTAATATGTCTAGATACGCAATACATACCAAAAATCTGAAGCTACTAAAACTAAGACGTTTGTCTTAGTTTTTTCCTTTTGCACTTCATTACTCATTCAACTCCCGCCAAGAAAGTACAAAAAAATGCTCCGTAAAAACAAAGAAAAACAGTAGATAAAATTCGATTCTCTTTCACAAATACACATAATACCAAAAAATATTAAGTTTTACACTTAACTCATTAACATTTTTGGCAATAAATACAAAATTAAAGCTAGGTTATAAAATAAAAATATTTAATTTTTTTCAAATAAAATTTCGACATTTTGTCGTCAGTGTTGCCACTGCTATTTTTCAATTTTCCCAAGTATATGGGAACCTTTTCTTTTTAATGCGTGGAATAATTCGTTAGTTGTCGAGATACAACTTTTGAAAATACGTAAAATTGTTTGTTTGATGTTTTATGAACTTTAACAAATGTCGAAATGTCGTAACCACTAACTTTATCGAAAAACAAAGGGATATATATGCACAGAGCCTAATTTCGTAATTGTTTTTTTTCGAAGTTTTTGCAAAGAAATTTTCAAAGTTACAGTATTTTACTAATTGATTTTATACATATATCTACACTACTCGTTCATTCATTCATTCATTCATCACAATGGGTGAAATTTTCGACAGCTGGCAATACAATATCAATTACCCATTTTTCCGTTCATTCTGTCGTTCGCACATATTCTGTCTTTGTTTAATTTAAAGTTTAATCGTAGATATGAGGGAGACAAATATAATAAATCTATTTATATTATATAGTATAAATATTATTTGCAAAGCTACGTCCTGATTCCGAAAAAGTGCTACGCTTTTTGGCGCGTCTGTTGTATGGGATTGCTTCTCTAGTTATTAAACTCATTGTTACGCTCCCTCAAATATACCTACTAAGTCTGTGATCTATATATTTAAAACGAATGAAGCTGTCATGAATCACTGGCTCCCAATCACGTTCTACGAAGAAATTTTTTGTTAGGAAGTTGGTCGTCTGATACCTACTAAGTCTGTGCCTCAAATATAGTTGAGCGAAGCGATGGCTGGCTCATGCATCAATCTCGTCAACGGGTGCTGCCAGTGGGGATAAGTCTGCACTGGACTACTTAATTTTCGTCCTTTTTATTTTATTATGAATATTGTATATAGATTTGTCTGAGTATGTATGACTCGGCAACCGGCATTGTAATCAGTAATCGAAAAAATCTGTCTTGTTATTTTTGATATTGTAATGGAAAGAGACTATATAGTCTAATTAAGTCACATTCCAATAAGTCTTATCTGTGTGAAATAAAACACCAAGAGAAAAAAGAAGCCCTTGTTGAGTTTCTTGCCGGTTCTTCTCCGTACAAGGTCTCCCGCCAACTTTTTCGGACCGTTGGCATAGTTTTCAGCTTTCACAAGTACTACACAACAATACTCAAGCCTAGACTGAATTGATTTTGATATTTGTATTAATATCATTCGACGGATTCATTGTTTTTCATTTCAAAGCAATTTGAATTAATCGAGTCAATGAGGAAGTATTTTATGAAAAAAAGAAAGCACTAAAAAGCACTTCACTAGATGTCGACTCTAGCAAAAGTTCTTTATTTATTAAAAATAAATGACTATTTACAAATTTTATTTAAATTTATTTACCTAGATTCCTACTATAATATTTACATTTTCCTATATTCCTTTACCTAATCATTATTTACTTCGTTTGTATTCGTATTAATGGAGAAAACAATCTGTAACCTGTAACTCTATGGTATTTTTTGTCATAGTCTATGGTAAATGGTTTGGTAATGGTCTTACCAGTTTCTAAAGTATTTCTACTATTTAGTAGTGTACATAATATATACTCTATGAGTAGTTTTGAGGTATAACAATGGAAACGCACATTTTATTATCATCATCATCAGCCCTTTCACGTCCACATTGGCCCTTCCATCAGGTCTTTCTTATGGATGGTTTAAGGTGGATGGGCATTATGACCCTTCACGCTGGCCCAATGCGGATTGGAAGGTATTAACGACTTTGTAGAGTTCTAGAAACTGCATTTGGTATCATCCATTTATTACGTAGGTCGATTTTGGACCCCTTCTCACCCCAGAAGACAAAGTGAAAATCTAAAATAAAAATACGAACACCTCTTTTTTATTGATTTATTAATTTAAATTCTACTAATAATTTTATTTTAAGGGCTTTCGTGATTTAACACAACAATTATCAAACTTTTCATTGCAACAAAAATAAAATATTGTCAACCTCCTAACCCCTAACTTGTGTTAAATACCTAATGAAAGGATGAAGCATAAGTTAATTTGATAAATAATGACTCAAAATAATTATGATATTTATGTCATGAAAATGTTATCCACCAAACCTGCTTGTCACCTTAATCAATCTACAATAAATCAAATAACATCATTAGACGAATTTATCATTCTAGCATAGGGGAGGGCACAATTAATATTTCGCACTGTTCGGACGTAACCAAATGATTAAAACAGTTATTCAGTTGGCTGGCTTGGTCGGTGTTTGTTGGCTTTAATGGCTATTAGTTGTATAGCCGAACACAACTCTCTACAGTACGGCTTTACAAAGTCCGGCTTTTACAAAATAAATTTTACATAGAAGTTTACAAGCAAGAAATATGTCAATTACAAGAATAGTTAATACGAGATATAACTGTAATATTATATTGGATAAACACTAGCGTTCAGTAGGATGGCATACAAAGTTAAAAGCACAATTACATAAACAAATTCACAAGATAATTATAAAAATGTAGGTTTTTTTACGTTTATGCACCATTCATCAATCATCATTTAAAGATATATTTACATTAAAGTCGGTTTATTAGAATATGTTAGTTCAGTTTGGTCGCCTCAATATGCAATTCTTATTAATCGCATTGAAAAGATACAAAAGTTTTTTATTGAAAATCTTAATTATCGTTGTCGCAAGACGTTTGATTCTTACCCTGAAGCGTATCATAATTATAATAATCTTACCCTAGCAGATAGACACAAAGTTTTTGACATGTTCTTTTTGTTCGTCATCGTGAATGGTCATTTGGACTATTCCGAAATAGTAGCGGGTATTATATCGGACACCTGTACGTCGCATAAGGCACACGCCTGTATTTCATGTTGTACTGCGTTCGTCAAAATACGCTATGAACAGTGCAATGACACGACTTCCTAATATGTACTACGAATACTTTAGCACTCATGACTTTTTTTGCAGAATAAGCGAGCATTTAAGAATGCAACGACTGCGAGTTTAAGTTATAGTTTTTAATTCAGTCTATTAATTGATAACTGAACTAAAAATAAATAATAACTGATGAGTGATGTCGAATATTGGTGATACACTTTTATTGGATACTATTTATGATTGTTTTGACATTCGGTAATTGAGTAGTATATGTTTTAGTTGTAGTTGTTTTTGTAATTCTGTTGTAGTTGTTCTTGTTGTAACATATTACAATCACGCACAAACACACACACACACTCACACACACACACACACACACACACACACACACACACACACACACACGAACACGCACACACACACACACACACACACACACACACACACACACACACACACACACACACGCATATTCAACAAGCACATCAATTGAGAATTGTTATAACAGCTTAAGTGTGGATGCTTTTGCAATGTGCATACTAGTTCTGTGTCGATCGTGATTGATCGAATCATTTTCATTCGATTACAACCTATAATCGAGTGATAGAATCATGATCTCTAAATTATTCGATCTTGTGACCCACATCT